TGCACAAACCGCGATTCATATCTGCCTTACTTTGGAAGCACTGAGCGTTTTAGTTTTGTCCATGAAAAACCGGATTTTTTGGCACTTTTCCGCAAAATAAAAAAGTGCTCAGAATTCACTTTTATGCACATTGGGAGAGAGCTAGAGAAGCACCGAGTCCAAAAAACCAGGTTACATCGATTTCCGAGACCAAAAAAATTCGACCCAAAAATGGATTTTGGTACTACAGGTACTACAGGTACCAAAGACAATTTAAAGGATAGATCCTTTTCATTCATTCTTGTACAACCACCTGTTGAAATTGGCCAATTTTGACTTTTTTGAAAATCCAAATTTTGCAGCTTGACCACGGTCAAACCAGTTGAGATAGGATGCTGAAATTTTGACAGGTACTAGTTTGAAATCTTAGCTTTGCAATGCCACAAATCGCGATTCCATATCTGCCTTACTTTGGAAGCACTGAGCGTTTTAGTTTTGTCCATGAAAAACCGGATTTTTTGGCACTTTTCCGCAAAATAAAAAAGTGCCCAGAATTCACTTTTATGCACATTGGGAGAGAGCTAGAGAAGCACCGAGTCCAAAAAACCAGGTTACATCGATTTCCGAGACCAAAAAAATTCGACCCAAAAATGGATTTTGGTACCACAGGTAGCTACCTGTTGAAATTGGCCAATTTTGACATTTTTGAAAATCCAAATTTTGCAGCTTCACCACGGTCAAACCAGTTGAGATAGGATGCTGAAATTTTGACAGGTACTAGTTTGAAATCTTAGCTTTGCAATGCCACAAACCGCGATTCCATATCTGCCTTACTTTGGAAGCACTGAGCGTTTTAGTTTTGTCCATGAAAAACCGGATTTTTTGGCACTTTTCCGCAAAATAAAAAAGTGCTCAGAATTCACTTTTATGCACATTGGGAGAGAGCTAGAGAAGCACCGAGTCCAAAAAACCAGGTTACATCGATTTCCGAGACCAAAAAAATTCGACCCAAAAATGGATTTTGGTACCACAGGTAGCTACCTGTTGAAATTGGCCAATTTTGACATTTTTGAAAATCCAAATTTTGCAGCTTCACCACGGTCAAACCAGTTGAGATAGGATGCTGAAATTTTGACAGGTACTAGTTTGAAATCTTAGCTTTGCAATGCCACAAACCCCGATTCCATATCTGCCTTACTTTGGAAGCACTGAGCGTTTTAGTTTTGTCCATGAAAAACCGGATTTTTTGGCACTTTTCCGCAAAATAAAAAAGTGCTCAGAATTCACTTTTATGTACATTGGGAGAGAGCTAGAGAAGCACCGAGTCCAAAAAACCAGGTTACATCGATTTCCGAGACCAAAAAAATTCGACCCAAAAATGGATTTTGGTACCACAGGTAGCTACCTGTTGAAATTGGCCAATTTTGACTTTTTTGAAAATCCAAATTTTGCAGCTTCACCACGGTCAAACCAGTTGAGATAGGATGTTGAAATTTTGACAGGTACTAGTTTGAAATCTTAGCTTTGCAATGCCACAAACCCCGATTCCATATCTGCCTTACTTTGGAAGCACTGAGCGTTTTAGTTATTCCTCCTTATGAGTTGGTACTGGCTGGCGTCGGTGGGCTGGTAGTTGTTTCTGTTGTTGGTCAGGTCGGTGGTTACCTTATATTGGTAGGCTGTGTTGTAGGTAGGTCGGCGATGGGGTGGGATATAGTTGAATGGGTTGGTTGGTGGTCGGCGATTGGTAGGTGGTAGAGGTCGATTGAAGACAGGGCCGTTGAAGGGTACGTGATGTTGGTTTGGTTGATGATTAGTGTTTCTATGTCTGTCTTCTTGCCAGTGATTGTTGTAGTTGGGGAGCATAATGAAAATAACTTGAGGTTAGAAAGTGAATGTACAGAGGATGTAACAGAAGGAAACTGTATATGCAGGCAGATAATATTGAGTTCTGTTTTTTTCTGACATGTCCTGATAGTTCATGTGAATATTGGTGCAAAATTTCAGCATTGTAGCTTTGTAAGTTTTCACGCCAAAAGTTTATTTGTCTTAGAGCACTTCTTGTGCACAAATATGCAGACTGCATATAGCTAGTTTGAAAACTTACTGATTTTGATTTGATTTCTTGTTTTTTTTGGAGTCCTTGGGGTCTAATGAGTAGGAAAAGATCAAAACTTGAGCCAAAAGTTTGTATTTGAAAAAGTTGTCTACAGGCCATACTTGCTTTTAACTTGTAGATATTGTTAATTTGAATTTGATTTTAACTCTTTTTTTTAAATGTCTATTGTCTTTATAAGAGTCTAAAAAACAGCAGATTTCGGACGATGTACATGGTTTACAGAATAGTAATCAAGACAATAGATTTTAATCACAAGAGTCATAGTAAGTGAAATTCACTCCTAACTAGTGACTACTCGCTCAGTCAGTTTGCTTCGTTTATAGCAACAGGTAAGTCGACTTTTTGAAATTCTCTCAAATTTAAGATACATTTTTAAAAATGCCCCCACCCTCCCTATTTTCCATAAGAAAGAAAATATCTAAGTTACACGTAAGACTCAAAGTAAAAATCCATTGCAAATTTGTGTTGAGATACGTGACTTTGAGGCAAAGCTAGGCTCTGAACTAGGAATCAAAATAAGGAATATGAGTGAAAAAAGGCGGAATTCTATGGAATCGGAACTAAGGCCTGCACGAGCTTGGCCCCATTATCAAACTACTTTTATACATTTAAAAAAGGAAAATGACTCCAAATAGTTTCACAGTCAAGTTTCTTTATATGTTGAAATGTTTCATGAAATTTTAACCAGTGTAATATTTAAGTTAAAATGCCATCACAATGACATAATATTGCTTCGAATAGGGGATATTATCAAAGACAATGCGTAATTATTCAATATGATATTATTGTGTTTTTTCATTTCCTTTCAGGTCAGGGTGCTC